GTTAGCATAATTGGTGATGCCACCATCCAGCCATAGGAGAGAGGAAAATAAATGTTGGTGAGACTGAAAGTGAGTAAAAGACTCTAAAATTATTCCAGGCAAAACATTACCCCTAAAAATAACTTGAATTATTCATTAATGCTTTAGCTGAGCCCAAACTGCAGCAGTTCTGTTATCAGCTGTAACGTAAACCCAGCTAGCAGAGACACGCAGTGAATGAGCTCAATGAGTCACTGAGGCAACAGGCAGCTGAAAAGTCACCAAGTTGGCAACAGCAATCAGCATGGCAACAGCAATCAGCTCTGATAACGTGAAGTGTGAATATCTGAGCAACATACAGAGGAGGCCGTCCCATACGGCTGGTACGGGTCACCTCAAGGTTGTCTGAAACACCAGACATGTCCATCTGCTCCAATCACAAGGCTGCGTTACAAAGAATGCAGCGTGGTGAAAATGTGAACCGTCACTCTTCACCAACCTCACTGTCAGTTATTTGGTCAGAGAACATCTAGACAGTGAGGAGAGCATCAGGTCCTACAGCTGTCCTCCCCTTTAGATGCTGGAAGGCCAGGTGACTATCCTCCTTCTCTTTCCAGGGGAGGTACGAGGTCTTTTGGTAAAATGACCAGAGATGACACCAACCAGACCTGAACGTGTTTGGATTATTCTGCAGTAAACTGAGCGCTGCACTGTTAGCGCTAATGAAGCTGTAACTTTGAGCAGCGGAGCTGTAGAAGCAAACAGGAAGGAGGCGGTTCCTGATCGGTCGTTTATTTCAGCTTTATCCTCTGCTTCATGTCAGGATCTACAGCTCTGAACATATCTCTGCATTTGTTGAACCACCTCCTTCCTGCTCAGATGTTCAGAAGCTGCTGCAGATGGTTGCTGAGGGAAACCTCATTATTGTTCAACCTAATTAATCTAACATCTGAAACAGGAAGCTTCCAAACATTCAAGGAACTAAAAGCCTCAGCAGCAGCAGTGCAGGAATAAATGTTTGCCGTCAGAACGATAGTTGCTCACATTGTGACAGAAAGGTGGAGCTCACCATGGCGACATAGAGTCAGCCGTGGCGACATAGAGTCAGCCATGGCTACATAGAGTCAGCCGTGGCGACATAGAGTCAGCCA